ATTCGTCAGATATTGGAGAAAAAATGGGAGTACGATGAGACAGTACATCAGCTATTCATAGACTTCAAGAAAGCCTATGATTCAGTTAGGAGGGAAGTATTGTACAATATTCTAATAGAGTTTGGGATACCCATGAAACTAGTCAGGTTGATTAAAATGTGTTTAAACAAAACGTATAGTAAAGTCCGTATAGGTAAAAATTTGTGTGATAAATTTCCTATCCAGAATGGTCTAAAACAAGGAGATGCTTTATCGCCACTCCTTTCCAACTTTGCCTTAGAATATGCAATTAGGAAGGTCCAGGGAAGCCAGGTGGGACTGAAATTAAACAGGACACATCAGCTGTTGGTCTACGCCGATGATGTGAATCTACTGGGTGATAATGTAGATACCATAAAGAAAAAAAAAAACACAAACTTTAATTGACACAAGTAAAGAGGTTGGTCTAGAAGTAAACACAGAGAAAACTAAGTATATATGATACTGTCTCATCACCAAAATGCAGGGCAAAATTATGACATAAAGATAGGAAACAGATGTTTTGAAAATGTGGCACAGTTCAGATATTTGGGAACAACGATAACAGATCGAAACCTGATTCAGGAGGAAATTAAGAAGCGATTGAACTCAGGTAATTCTTGCTACCATTCAGTCCAGAACCTTTTGTGTTCTAGTCTGTTGTCCAAAAACATAAAAATTAGAATATACAAAACTATAATTTTGCCTGTGGTTCTGTATGGGTGTGAAACTTGGTCTCTGACATTAAGGGAGGAACAGAGACTGAGGGTGTTGAGAAGAATATTTGGACCAAAGAGAGATGAAGTCACAGGAGGTTGGAGAAAACTGCATAATGAGGACCTTCATAACTCGTACCCTTCTCCAAGTATAATTAGAATGATCAAGTCAAGGAGGATGAAGTGGGCAGGTCATGTAGCTTGAATGGGGGAGACGAGGAATGCGTATAGGATAGGTGGGAAGGCCAGAAGGAAAGAGACCACAGGGAAGACCAAAGTGTAGGTGGGTGGACAATATTAGAATGGATCTTAGAGAGGATGAGATGGTATGGATTGGATAGATCTGGCTCAGGATAGGGACCAGTGGAGGGCTCTTGTGAACACGGTAATGAACCTTCGGGTTCCATAAAATACTGGGAAATTCTTGAGTAGCTGCAGAATTGGTGGCTCCTCCAGAAGGCTCAGCTCCGTGAGTGATGAAATTACTAAGAAAATATTCATGTATTGTGTAATGCCGGTTTCTTGCTTTGTCAGCAGTAAAAGTATGAAGGGCACTATCTTTAATGTTAATTAGATTTGGTAAGTATACACTCATGCATATAAATAAACACTCTGCAGTGTTGTATGTAAAATTGCAAAAAATTTAAAACTTTATATTTGAAATTTGAGTTCATTGCAGAATTTTATCTTCATTTTGCTTCATACTGTGGAGAATTTTAACAAAAGCAGAACTGCAGGAAATTAAGAGGCAGAAAGATAAAGCTGAGAAAAGTTTTCTTAATATTAGGGGCGTACAAGGCAAAACAACTGAACAAGTATCCTGAACTGCCACATTTCTGTTTAATGGAACATCATCTAGATTGCTTGGACATAGGTCACACTTACACAAAGCATTACAGTCTTGGTGCTGAATATTGTGACAAGCCATCAGACAAGGTGGAGTATGTATTTTTTTATACAAAAAATTTAAATTTTTAAACATTAACTTAAATGAGTTTTGCAAAGAGCCGGACTTAGAAATATTTGCAATTAAACTTCAATTTCCATTTGACAATATCTATTCATTTATAGAGCACCATCTGGTAACTTTTCATATTTTGTAAATGGCTCAGATGCCATTCAAAAATCCCTGTACAATACTAATTTAGAATTCATTATCTGTGATGATAGAAACATAAATTATCTTGTTGACAATAATAGGTAAAAGCAAATAGACACTTTGTTACCTTCTTTTGACCTATCTAGTACAGTACACTTTCCTGCTAGAATCCAAAATAATTCAATCTCTGCAGTTGATAATATTTTTATCAAGTCCACTTGTTAATGATCTGTGTGATCATGATGGCCAGATTATTTACATAAATAATATTAATTTACAGACACAGTCCTTACATTAGTAAGGAAATTTAATAAGACCTCTATGAATGAGTTTTTGATTCAAGTTATGAAACTTGGGACAATATTTCCATTGATCAGGATGTTGATACAATATTCAAGTCCTTTCTTAATACTTATCTAACAACAATCTACTCTACTCTACTTTCCAAAAAAAAATACAAGTTAAGATTAAAACTACATATAATCCTAGGATGACAGGTGGTATAAAGATTTCATGTCACACAAAAGAGAGCTCTGTTTAACTCTTAGGAATAGTAATGATCCAAATCTAAAATATTATAAAACATACTGCAAAATTTTGGCCAATGTTATTAAAGCAGCTAGAAATCTACATTATAGTAGATTAATTTCTAATTCTAGAAACAAAATGAAAACTACCTGGAGCATTATAAAATCAGTCACAGGTAGAAAAAATTAATAATGCAGGTATACAGTTTTTAACTAATAATCATCATATGATGACAGATTCTTTAAATAATTATTTTCTAACGATAGCTGACAAAATCAACTGTTATCAGCCTGACATGTTATTGCATGGAGCACCGCAAATTGAGGAAACTGCGTTGCCGTTTCCACAATTTACGCTAGTCCATTCAATAACAATCTAAGAAAAACTTTGTCCACCACAAATCCCACATGACCCCAGTCGGGCTCGAACCCGTGCCGCCGCGATGGCAAGCCACCGACCGTACCTCAGGGTGATAACGATGATAACAATTTATGAAATTGTGGTTGCGTTGCCGTTTTCAATTTCCTTTGTGTGCCTTCGCCCATAAAGTAGTACGTTTATTAGAAGCTGATTGTTCTGGTAAAGTTTTTTTTTATGTATTTCACACTTAATATATCCTTTATTGTTTATTCTTTTGCGTCCCTTGTATATTTTTTATAATTCGCAGAGAACCAAATTGACACGTCCATTTGTTGTCAAACTTCTCGTTTTGCTTTTACCATATAATCATTATTAGTTAAGACACAGAATCTTTACCGATACATAGTATAAAGCAATATGCAATTTAATTTAAATTAATTTGAATTAACCATTCGATTGATTCTCTTTGGAAAATCTACGCAATAACGATAGCTAGTTTGTTTCAATATGGCGGTTGGAAGATGTCAAAATTATTGTGTGTTTGGCATTTTAGGTCTTTTAGGTGACAGAAGAAGTGAGGTCTATGGTTATGTGCATGTATTCTGAAATTATTGGAAGCACTTCACCAATTAAGTCGTGAAAATAACAACTTGGCTTCTCTAATATGAAATTATTAAGTTATGGAGTATTTTCTGCATGTTTTTAAGGTTAGATCGTTAATAACAAGAGAATGCTGCCCGGGATTGGAGTATTTGGAACTGGGAATGTTGTAAAAGTTATAGTACCTTTTCTGAGGGAGAAGGGTTTCAAAGTTGAAGCAATATGGGGTAGAACTTTAAATGCCGTTGAAGAGGTAGCAAAGGAACTTGAAATTCCATTTCACACAAACAAAATCGATGACGTTTTACTAAGGAAAGATGTGGATCTTATATTTATTATCTGTTCGCCCAATCTGCATGCCCAGATTGCAGTTAAAGCATTAGGAATTGGTAAGCATGTCCTGTGTGACAAACCGGCTGGCCTGTGTCAAGGAGAGGCTCTCAAGATGGTCCGAGCATCTCAGTATTACCCATCTTTGATCTCCATTATAAACCATAGTTTGAGATTTCTTCCTGCCTTTGGGCAGATGCGCAGAGCCATTGTGGATGGTTATCTCGGACAAGAAGGAGAGATAACAGTTTGTGATGTGCGTGTGCAAATGGGAAGCTTACTCCATGATGCTTATGACTGGCTGTGTGATGACACCATGGGTGGAGGTGTTCTTACTCTGGTGGGGAGCCATGTGATAGACTTGGTGTCACATTTAACATCTCAGCGAGCAGTGAGAGTTCATGGTGTCATAAGAACTTTTACCAAGACTACAGACTACGTAAATGGGATACGGCACATTTCAAGCCCCGATTTCTGCGCATTTCAAATGGAAATGAGTGGTGGAGCTCTTGTCACTGCTACCTTAAACAACCACCTCCCAGCCTCATTCAGTCAAGAGGTGCTCATATGTGGGCAGGCGGGGCATCTAATGGTTCGTGGAGGAGACCTCTATGGTCGTAAGTCCGGTTCTACAAAAGAAGATGTAATCTACCTTGATGTTGAAGATCTGCAACGTGGTGGGGCAATCAACTCTACTGCTGCCAATGCCATTCCACGTCCTTACATGAAGGGGTTGTTTAAGATGATTGGGGCATTGAGGGAGGCATTCCTTCCAGTTGAGGATAAACGTGGTTGGGTGAAAGAGCCTGTTGCCCTAGCTGCAACCTTTGAAGATGGTCTTTATGTTCAGGCAGTGATCGATGCTCTGAAAAAATCAAATGCCAACAGAGAGTGGGTCAAGGTGAATGTCATTACAGAGGAGCCAGATCCTGACCCTTTGCTGAGTGCTGCTGTCCGTCGCAGTACCATTTCCATGTGATGTCTGGACTGGCTGCCATAAGGGGCAGTCATTAACATTCCACAGACTGACTAACATCATCATTACTTATTTTATGTTTGTTTCTTTGCCATTTTATTGTAGTAGTAGTTACTAAAACAGAATGGTTGTGTCTGAAAAAAGTAGCTCAAACTTAACTGTTCTCTAACATAAAGAGTGTGTTTTTTTGAGCCCATTTTGAGGACAAGGTTGTGTTAACTGAGTATCTGATAGTGCTTCAGAATGTATTGAAGACAGCTTGCACTGCAATTTATGGCACTAACAAGATAAAAATATGAAGGTCAATTTGAAGGGTTCTTGTACATGAAGACTTGATCAGAACGTACCTTTTTAGATTTTTATATATGTATCTTTACGGAGGAGAGGGGTTGTCATTCAAATACTTTATCGAAGTATGTCGCACCAAATTTGTTTTTTGTACCTTTATGTGGGCAGGGTCATCATCACTTGAAAAACCTCACTGATTCTACTTCTTAGATACTGTTCCAAATCATTGCATAAGTTCAGCTCACTATTTTTTGAACCATTTGGCATGTATCATTCAGCTGTCACTTGATATTTCATTACACATGGCCATTAGTGTGAATGTTTCATGAACGTTAGTAACTGTGAACTTTATTTTTGGCAAGAAGTGTACCAGAACCGCTTTAGAAACTTAGCCTTGCTATTTATTATCCATTATTGCATATGCATTTCATAAGTGCATTGTGAAATAATTTAATTCCAGTCCTATACTCTGCTGAAATGTTGTCTTTTGCTCTTTGATGTGCAAATTCTTGGACGGACCCTTATTAATTTTGAAGTATGGATATATTGCAGTATTTGTATTATTGAAATGCCTTCTTGCCAAACATTCATCATCCATTATGATTATACAGGGCGTTCATTGAAGGAGGAAACTTCGCAGCACTGTTGACAGGGCCCACTATTCCTCACAGATTGGTGCTGTAACTGTAACAGCGTGTGTTTATCAGCGCTAATGGCTCCGTCTGCTATCAGCAGTTACAGCAGCAATCTGTGAAGAATTTTGGGCTGGGTCAATGGTGTTGCAAAGGTTCCTCCTTAACTGAGTGTATAGATTTATCTTGTAGATGAATTTATTGCTCGGATTTTTTTTTTCACCATTATGTCAAGGATATCTGTGGTTCCACCCTCCTTCCTATTAAACAGGTAACAGAGTCCTTTCCTAGATGTAAATGATCACAGCGTGAAGTTGACCACTCATGTCAATCTAGCACCAAGATTAAAAATTCCCAACGTTCTAACTCCATCCCACCTTCTCCCATAAGCTTTATCTTCCCATACTTTCACTGCAAAATGTATACATATCTAACCCATGTCATTTTGGACTTCAGATTTCCATAGAAAACTTGTTAAATAGTGACAACTTTGATCAAATTTTTAATATTCTTCAAAAATCTTTTTCTTGTGTGGAAAAAAAAAATCAATGAAAATATAGGGCTAGATTCTAAAGGGTTCTGACAGTGGTGTATAACATTAAGAATTACTGGATTTTTGGACTTTGTCTGTCATCTGCTATTCTAAAGACTAGAGAATACTGCATTTTAGAAACTGGATCTGTTTCCATCCTCAGGTGAAGGGGAAGACACCTACACTGTGAGGTCCCTTGGAAAAGCTAACCCAATCACTGAACCCAGTGAATTTAGCTCTTTATGAGGGACCCAACAGAGTAGGTGTCTCCCCTCATCTGAGAACAGAAACAAGTCCTGTTTCTGAAATGTTGCACTCTCTAGTTTTTATAACACCGGACAGTGGACAAAGTCAAAAACCAAGTAATTCAGAATGAAAATGTTATGGATTTGTGATTTAGTAAAGGATTTGGCATGTGAGGATTTTATTTTAAAAATTTAAAGATGTACAGTTCCAGAGTATTCTGTGTATTATTGATACACTGCTGTATTACATGTAACATTTGTTAACTGCTTAAATAATAGCTGGTACATTCATTAGAACTGATGCAGACTTGCACTTCTCCTCATAACATAACATATTGTGTTTGTAATGTGAGATAGTTCTAACAGTCATTAGTAAGTTGTGATATTTTGAACTCTAATTAAGGCAAAATCAACATTCCATTAAATTTATGCATGCCTGAAACCTGCCAGCCTTATATGCATTCTATTTTATGATTGCTGTTATTTATATTGCTTCTGTTTTGTGTAGTACTATATTTTTTATGCATTTACATTATTCTCTTAAGACTGCATAAAAATATTCAGGCAGCAAAAATACATACAAGACTTATAGTTGCCAATCCATTACCATCACCAAATTTATTTACTTATATACTGTGTTCCACTGTTAATTAATCAGTGTTTTTGTTTTTTGCCTAATGATGAAGAAATGATGTGCAGAGCTCTCTACTTTTATGATGTTTGTGTTGAATTTTGCCCTTATTTCATACTGTTCTATTTCTGTTAATATATTTCCAATATCCTCTTCCCAGGTTTGTCTGGGTATTCTTTTAGGCCTTCTTCTTCATTATCTTGCCTGTCATACTAAAATAGGTTACAGTCATTCGTCATTCAGTTGACAAAATGCCATTAATCAGTAAATAAAGAAACAGATTCTGACTTACTGAGTGTGTTTAGTTGCACTGAATGGTACAGAGTAAGCCCTGAGGTGACCATACTTTTGCAACATCTAATGAAAATAATGATGAACAATGCTTGTATACTTTAGTTATCCTCCTTGCGTTGTGCGATACATACGTACCATGAAGAAAATGGATTGGAAAATATACATACATGAATATATACGAGGGGGGACCCAAAAATAACCGGAAACGACCTGTTGCGCGCGCATGCTTTGTAGTTACGAGTTGTGCTGCTGGGTGGTGTTAGCTGGGGGTCTCCCATGACTGTTAGTGAGCTGGCGTCAGTCTGAGTTAAGTGGTTTGTCTGTGGTGCTCTGTTGTGTGCGTTCCTGTTTCAACCCTTTGGCGATTAGTGAGATGGCCGACCAGAAGGAACAAAGAGTGTGCGTGAAGTTGATGAAGATCGTCGAAAGACCATTGACCAACTTTCTGAGGAAACGAACATCTCATGGAGCACGGTCCAGCGAATTTTAACCGAAGGTTTGCACATGAGGCGGGTGTCTGCAAAATTTGTTCCTCGCTTGCTCGGAGATGACCAAAGAGAAAACCGCGTGAATATTTGCCGCGACTTAAAGAGTGAAGTGCAGTTTTCCCTAACAGAAAGCAAAATTTCACGCACACTTATTGTTCCTTCTGGTCAGCCATCTCACTAATCGCCAAAGGGTTGAAACAGAGCACCACAGACAAACCACTTAACTCAGACTGACACCAGCTCACTAACAGTCGTGGGAGACCCCCAGCTAACACCACCTAGCAGCACAACTCGTAACTACAAAGCATGCGCGCGCAACAGGTCGTTTCCAGTTATTTTTGGGTCCCCCTTCGTACATAATTCATAAATTCACTGATCCGTTGTCTGAATTGGACAGGATATTGAACTCGTCAAAATAAGACTTGATTGCAGAAGTACAATCGTGTCAACAGCAAACAACCACACACAACCAAAAGCACCAAATAACCATAATTTACATTGTCATTCATAAACAAAATTGCAAGGAATATAGTTATTAAATGTTATACATGCTTAGCAGAATTATATTCATCTATTGAATAAAAAGCATTTGTTGTGAGGAAACTTTTCAGTGTGCATTTAAAAATCTTCACATTATCACTCATCCTTTGTATATTTTGAGGAAGATTATTATAAACCATAATGAATGAATATAAAATGCCTCTCTGGGTTGAAGATAATCTTACTGATTATGTTCCATGCTATCTCCAACAGGTTAGGTAAGCTAAGCATATAGGGTACATCCACTGTATATGCAATGTGGTGAAAAATAAGTAAGAAATATATATATTATTTCCCCTGAACAGTGACTGACTGAGTTTCACTGTCTGCAGTGTTATGTATTTAATGTGCTGGAATTTATCTTGTATGTATAGTGAAGAAACCTCTATGAAAATGACCTCTTGGAACACTGAGAAAATGATGGATATTCAGGAAAAAGTCTATGAGAATGAAAGTATAACTAGCCCCAATTCATGTTGAAGATGGTGATATGAAAATTGTGAATGGGCATGAACCAGTTGTGATATAATGTCTTGGCATTGACATAGAGGACTATAAGAAAACTGGCTCTTAAAAATTAATTGTTTTGTTCAACTATGATCTTTGATGAGGAAGAACAAATACCATCTGGTGCTAGTAAGTGGAAAATTTGGCCAGTGACTTCCAGTATAGACCTTCCATGCCAACTATCATGAAAGTAGGTTGGGAGGTAAAATATTCCAATCAATTGATGGATTTATAACTGACTCAACTGTACTGACCATTAATGACTGTTTAAATACATCAACTTATTAAAGTCATAACTTAAACTAAGAAGTGACTAGATCCGTGACTCTTATAGTTACAGTTTCATTACCCAGTTACAGAAATTTGAAATTAATAATTAGTATGTAGTCCACAGTGGAACACAGTATAAATTAAGTGTAGCAAAGATTGTGTTTCAAGACAAGCCTAATCTGGGCCTATTTTAAGGTACTATTTATTGTAACACACTTGCAATGACTTACCAATATGGGTTCTAACTTGTCAGCATTATATATGTATCTATCAGAATTCTGGGATTGCAAATGGTGCAATTAGCAAACATAGCTCTTTAATTTTGTGTTATAAAAGTGTTGCTTGCAACAAGTTACATATTAGTATGTATAATGGACAGCATAAAGATTAGAACAATTAATGATGGGAAGTATCAAACATTTTAAGTACCAGTGGTCAATGTTAACACAGAAAATTTTGTTTTGCAATTGCATAAGGCCATGCTGAGAGACTGATCACTATAAAGGCTCACTATAAAGGAACGGTCCTCGTTGGCATATAAGTAGCCCCAGACATGGGTACCTCATTAACAACAAAAACATATTAACCTTTTTTACCTTAGTTTGCAGCCACTGTTTGACCTGTTGATAGTAACTTCAATGTTGCAACTTGTCTGTCGTGCTAGCATCTGGTTTTCTGTATTATTTTACTGTGCACTGAAAAGCATTTGAATAATTTGAAGAAATCCTTCAACTTCTAATTGACACCAGTATGCTGTCATGTTGGATACTTCCTGTAGTCTGTGATGTATTTAATATATACATTTCAGAAATTAGCTCCACATCTGTTTTCTGGTTATTGCCTGTCATATTGTAGATAGATGAAGTAAATATATATCAATAGGTCTTGCTCATTGTTATCTATAAGTAGGCTAACTACATTAACTACATCTGTTACAGATGGCAACCTTCTCAAACATAGTAATAGTAAGGAAGTGAATAACAGTGGTATGTTAAAGCAATATGTATAGTCCCTAATGCTAAAAATGGTGACTTCTTTTTAACTCTTGCTGACAGTACATTGTGAACCTTTTTTTTTTTGTCACCTTATGAGACTGATACATTAATCTTCTAGTTTAGCAAATTTTGGTTGTGACATTGAATTCATACTTTTATTTGTGAAGTTAACTTCATTTGTATGGACTCTTCAATTTTCTCTCTTGCCCTCTTCTACATATTTGTTAAATAAATCCCTGATGTAAGCTACTGACAGTTACTTTCCCCAGTGGCAGTTTATTTTAAATCTTCATGTTTTATGTTCTAATAGGAATTTTCTTGTCATCCATGTGTAGCACCTCCCCACACTGCTGTTTTCTTAATGTTATCAGTTTCACATTTTGCTAATTATATATTTTACTTTGTTCCAATCTTGATTTATTCATCCATGGATTCTTTCTGTACTTTATTTATAACTCGACTGAGGTAGATGGGAACAAGTTTTGGAAAATGTGTGTTTGGAACCATTTAATCGTCTTTATACAACTCATTCTCAGTTAAAAATAGGGCTTATACCTGTTGGTAAAGTCTTCAATTAGTAATCTACAAGTACTTGAGTTACCAGTGAAGTAACTGTTTAATTTAAATATACATTATTATGAAGCTGATTCTGAGATAATTCAGACACATTATTTAAACTACAGAGATTATATAACACCAAATAATATTTAATAGTAGTTAGAGCATAAGGATTTGGGAGGAATCTGTTTAGTGTACTTTGCAGATGGGGAAAACATACTGCCAAGCTACGTGTGGTAAACTGGGTTTTGAGATTTAAAATTATACAGTGCATTAAATTACAGCAACACTTATGTAAACCATGAGAAATCAGTTCATTGGATAATTCAGTATTGAGGAACAACTGTATTAATGTGTCAGAATTGACTGCTCTTGAAGTTCCTGAGTTCTCTGTTCAGAGCAGAGGATAACATTGATAAGCACTTCGCTGCCTTGCAAGGCAAGCCTTGTGACAAGTGGGAGGAGTCACATTGCA